TTTCGTTTTTCAATCGGGACATTTTCTCACTTTGACACTCAACGTTGTAACAAAAATCCTCCACAAAGAATGAGAGGTCACAGTTCCGTCGCTGGCAACACAGCTGACCACAAAGACTGACGTCCTTGACTCGACCCAGCTTCCAAAACACTCCCGAGGCGCTACCAGCACGCAATGTTACATTCAACTTTGGAGGGTTCGGCTTGCAGGTGCGCGCCTGTGTTGCAGGAAAGGCACTTCCTGTGAAGCAGAATGTGAAAAAGGACGTGTTAAATCAGTCAGGGCCTGCGTGGTTTTATTTCGTTTAAATGTGATATACACTGAGTGAGTGATTCACACGTGCGAGTGACACATCTTTCCTGATAAGCGCTTCTCTCGAGAGTCGGTTACCTCTCGCGCGTGGAAAGCAAAATATGGAGCAGCATTATTTCGGGAGACGGATAATATTGCAACAAATTTAGCAACGAGTCGGCTGCCTTAACCTCAACACATGAATGAATCGTGACTTTATGTGGTGTCTATCTGGAATCTCACAGACAAACGTGGATCTGTTTACACGCAGGTGGATTTGTGCAAACTCATATCTAGTAGGAACTTTTTGGCAAGTGAGCTGCACTACGTACAATGACAACTAATGATTTGTTTGTTTGTTTGTTTTAATTTACAGCTTTTCTTAAGCAACCTGTAGGATTAAACAATAAAATAGTGACACACTAGTGTAAGTCTTTCCCTCCGAATCTCCCAATTGATAAAGAAACGCTCTTTGTTTTCACTATAATTGTCATGTCATTGTGGTACTCTTGTAAAATTTGCAAAAAAAGTAAGAATACTTGGATTGTTTTTTTCTTCGAAGTACTTATTCAATGAAGGACTTCTTTTAGCCTTGGTTTTTTACCTCAAAAATCTGTCGCTAACAGTGCGAGGCACTGTAAGGCACAAGCTACAGGTTCTTAAAAAAACTGTGCTGAGTGATCCATTAAGAAAACTGCCAAATTTGACAGTTACGTCATAGTAGATTTACAAACACACAAATTCATATTCAGTCTGCTGCATACACCTTTTTGAAACAGTGAAACTTGCAGTAGATATGATACGGAAAGTTTAATGTAGGGGCAATTCTTACGAGATTGAAGATAGGTACGCTATTTTGTCATGACGAAAATTTTTCGTCTTGAATGTTTTTGATTTACAACCATATAGTAAGCTTTGAAGCCCTTTTGTCACATGCGTTGCGTTCCCAATTTGTTTATGGTTCAGTTATACGTACCTGGTACCAGTTCTAAGATGTCAGAAAACACAGAAACGCCACTTCAAATAGATGAATGACTTGGATTAATTCTTCGTTGTAGTTGTTCTTTGAAAAAACACGGTGAAGGTACTTGTTCTCGTCGGATAAGCTGTCTGTCGTATTGCATACTAGTTGCACTCGTCGGGTAAGAGTCCTGATAGTAGTGGCTTTGTGTAATGTCGGGTTGTAGGATGACTCGTCCAGTAATCTGTCGGTATGCTTCGGTTCCTGTAAACCGTTTTCCGTAGTGAGTTGTCGTCACGGCTTACCAGGCAGTCTAGAAAAGGTAGTTTACCATTTTCTTCGACCTCTCTAGTAAACTGCATCTCAGTGTTTTGTTCGTTAAGGTGGTGGTGGAATGCGTCGATTTTGTCGTGTCGTACGGCGGTGAAAGTGTCGTCGACGTAGCGCAACCAAAGTGGTATAGTCTGTCGGCAAGTCGAAAGTGCGCTTTCCTCGATGTTCTGCATCACAATTTTTGCTACAACAGCATAAACTGGAGACCCCATAGCTGTACCGTGTAACTGTTTGTAGTGTTTACCATTGTGCTGAAAGTAAGTTGATGTCAGGCAAAGGTTTAGTAAGTCCATAATGCCCTCTTTCGGTAGCGGTAGAGGGTCAGTAGATTCCAGGATAGCAGTCTCAGAACATTGTAGTGCCAGTTGAAGTGGAATACTTGTAAAAAGCGATTTCACATCAAATGACACTAGTTTGTAGTCGTCAGGTATCTGTACAGTCTTAGTGGCGTTAATGAAGTCCTCGCTGGATTGTTGTTTTTGTTTGGATTTGTCGGTGAGCGGTTGTAGTATTCGGTACTTGGACAGTTGGTATGTCGGAAAACCACGGAAGGAAAACAATAGGTCGCATTGGGAAACCAGGTTCAAAACCAACCAATCACGACTGACCTACGCCAGGTTGTCGAAACTCAGGTTGTCGAAACGTCAGTCACCATTACCGACAACAGTCCTTCTCAGGACTACACTCACCCGGACGATCAAACTATACTATTAAATAGTAGTAATAAAGCAAATGTCTTCGAATTCCATAATCATGGAGTCAAAACACGCCCACTCGGATACGGTTTCCCTACACGCCAGATAAAACTGTTTGCGTCGTCAAAATTAGAAGGTTAATTTGATCGAAATGCAGCAAAGTTGAAAAATTACCTGATAGAAAGCCTAGAAAACTGAGGAGGAAGAACGATGTCATGTTAAAAGACATAATTGTAGTTGCTTACCCAGGCTCCCAAGTGTCTGCTAAAGTTACAAAAATTTAGTTACAAGTTACAAAAATATGCGATTTTTCGAGTAATCTTGTCCCTTAAGTATTTAACACTGAATCAGGAGAAGATAATGGCATTTTTTTCGATACCACAAACTGCTCTTAAGCAGGAGGAACCTAGAAATATGAGTGTTCCTCTGAAGGTTAACTCCAAAAAAGTAGGAACGAAGATAGAAAAAAGTATCCTCTTTTAGTAAGAACATAGAGAACACAAGTGTATAAGAATTGTTAAGGATACAGAATTTTAACAAGAGCCGTTGAAAGAGTTAGTTTAAAGAAGTTGAGCAAAATCTTTGACATCTGATCACGTCTGGTCGTATCGTAATCGATATTAATAATAATGATAATAATGATAATAATAACAATAATAATAATAATGAAAAAGCGGCACTGTAAATTATAGATCTACTAACCTGCTCACTTCAATTTTTCCGACATATATTTCATTTCACACTTCATGTAGCCGGTTATTAAAACAAAGTTTACCACCCATTCATTCAAACTGCGTTTTCGGTAAACAATCTTAAGTCAAGCAGAAAATATCACCTAAACCTCAAGATTCAGCGACACTGTTGAAAGGGCTCATGTTTAGCACTAAAAGGAAGAAAAACTTACAGATAATCCTGAGGAACTTTTAAAGTCAATTGGTCATCAAAAACGGTAGTCCGCTTTTAAACATCCCACACTAGTTTTCAACATATATTTTGATATCGTAGCTTTCGATTTAAAACTTGTCAACCTTGACCATTTTTGCAGACTGTCCAAAAAGAAAATTTTTAGACAATAAGTCAAAACTCATATCAGAAAAACAGTAAAACGTTACAGAGGCTCAACTGAGCTTATGATCGTGACTGGCTACGGACAAGCAGCTGAAACGGACTTTGTTCTGTTTTCTAGGAATCTTCTTCGTTCAACTTCGCGCGTCGCTTACGTATGTCATTTGTACTTATTGTCGATACTGATGGAGCCGCTGAAGAAACAAGTTACTTGTTCGATTTGCTTCGATACCTACACCGAGCCCAAAACTATATCATGTCTTCACACGTTTTGCTGTGAGTGTTTGGAGAAACATGTAAGAGTGAGCCAGAAAAAGGGAAAATTTCGATGCCCCGAGTGTCAGGCAGTGATCGATTTACCAGATGGAAATCGCTTCGACCGTTTGCCTAACAGTTTTTTCCATAAGAGTTCATTGAATCGCGCTGTTCGACAGGTTGGTGCGGCGAGTATAGCTTTACTTGTTATCAATGCAGCGTAACCAATCCCCAGATGTAATACTGCTTCGACTGCCAACGATTCATGGGCCCTGATTGTTTCAACGCACATGAAGTGCTCATGGAGTAAATGTAGTGGTTTTTCCATCTCTTCTATATTTGCCTTTACTACAGAGAAACTGAGTCGAAGATGAGGCAATATATAAATGATTTAATAAATGAATCAAAAATGATAAAAAATAGTTCTTATTTATCTCTTCCCTTCTTCCACCCCCCCTTCCCCCCCCTCCCCGGCTCACCCCCATCCCTCTCTCCTGATTTCTCACGAACAAAGTGCGAGCGAAAGGGAAGCATAATAACCAAGCGACATGCGGCTGATTTGCATAAATTAGCTAGCGTGCCTTGCTGCATGACCTGAAGATATAAAAATTTGGATTCCCAGTCGCTCACGATTACCGATGTTGTTAAGTAACATACTCTATTCAATAACAAAAGCGAAAGCGTTTACAATAAATAAAAAATTCATTCAAACTGTCCGTGCATGTTTGATAATCTCACCCTAAGTGGCAATTGTCGATTTTCGTAACGTGACGCGATTCGTTTCGATAATAACTCCGTCCATTACGATTAAAACTATCAAGTTTGATTTCCATCGTCAACTACAACGAGTAAATTGAAGAGGTCAACTAATATATTGAATGTGATCTCTGAGGTCATGACAGATGTCCGTTCTTCTTTCTCGGAAATCTAAATATAGTCGTAAAAAGTAGCTTGATGGTTTTTCAAAAGAAAACTATTTATTTTCTGTTTTCAATGAATGATGTCTTCAAAACCAAAAGCGTTTAGATATCTGTGTTTTCAAAGATCTCTGGGAATGAATAAACCGAGGAGAGACTTCAAATAAGATAGATGAGAACTTTAGTCGAATGTCTCGCCGGAGGAATGCAAATTACGAATTATTATTTCGGTCTCAGCTGGTAACGTTGTTGCCAGCCAAATTTCGTTTCATGGGAGAAGGGGTTGCCACTGACAACGGAATAACTTAGTCTAAGTTCTGGAATGCGATTGGCCAGAAGAAGTCAGTTGTCATGAATTTGAGCCGTTTTTATTGCAAACTGATTGTATTATAGTGTCTAGTCTGTTAAATCATATAAACAAGTGTCTTAACAGGGCTCGTCGCTGAAAAACGGATCAGTTTACAACAGTTTAAGGCGTTAGTCATGAATTCTCTCCCTAAGAATCTCAAGAAGCAAGTTACTTGCTCGATTTGTCTCCATACCTACACCGAGCCCAAAACTATATCATGTCTTCATACATTTTGCTGTGAATGTTTGGAGAAACATGTAAGAGTGAGCCAGAAAAAGGGAAAATTTCGATGCCCCGAGTGTCAGGCAGTGATCGATTTACCAGATGGAAATCGCTTCGACCGTTTGCCTACCAGCTTTTTCCATAAGAGTTTATTGAATCTTCTGGCTGTTCGAAAGGGTGGTGCGGCAAGTAGCTTTACCTGTTTTCAATGCAGCGTAACCAACCCCCAGATGTACTACTGCTTCGACTGCGAACGATTCATGTGCCCTGATTGTTTCAACGCACATGAAGTGCTCAAGAAGTCTTTTCAAGGACACAAAGTCAAACCAGTTCAAGACTTCAAAACAGAAGATTACGAAGCATTGTTAAAGAGACAACCGTTTTGTTCTCGGCAGTTCCACGAGAGAGAAATTACACGGTTCTTTTGCTCGCAGTGTCAAGTTTGCATTTGTCAAATTTGCATAGTCACGGATCATCAAAACCACAAAGTTGTTGTGCTCGACAAAGTAGCACACGAGGAAAAGGATAACATCATGTCGGGCGCTAAATTGATCAAGAAACTGGAAAACGAGCTCCTTGAAGTCATTAAGCAGTTTAAAGAAACAATTTCGAAGCTGGAAAGCAATATGGAAACGGCTAAGCGAAGCGTCAAGCAAGCAGCTGAGGAAATGATCGCAGATATTCGAGAGCGCGAGCGAGAGGCGTTGGAATCCCTCGAGGAAACACGCGCGTCGAGACTCCATAAAATTAACTCGGCTAAACAGGAAGTGGAATCCTTAGTGAAACAAATGAACCAAGCAGCTCAGTTTGCGGAAAATCTAGTGCAGGGAACCTCAAGCTCGGATATTATGCAGAACAAAGAAACTTTAAGGGCCAAATTTGAAGAGCTTCTGCGAGTTGAAGTTCCAAAACATCAGCAGACGACATTCATTAAATTCACTGCAGCATCTCAGAAGGACTTGAAACTGGGTTTCATTGAAGTCACTGAAGACACAGCAAAGGCAGCTAAATCAACTTTAGAAGGACTGGATCAAACTTTCCAGGCTGGTGTAGAAGCAGAGTTTACGTTATATCCAAAGAAATCTGGAGATGAGATGAGTAACCAGGCTGATCTTAAAAGTCGAGTTGAATTGCTGGTTAAACCCATCAAGGATGTTACAGACGTGATTGTCGAAGAGAAAGAGGGCGGCAATCTTGCATTGAAGTTTACTCCCAAAGTAGCTGGCGCCTATAGCATTCAGGTGAAGATTAATGGCGATAAACTATCGACCCGTCCCATGACTGTGCAGGTAAAAGAACGTGAACTTGTTGTGGTCGGTGAGTTGAAGTTAAAGCTCTTTAAAGGGAACACTCTTGAACGGTTATTTGGAGTTGCTGTGAATACAGAAGGCCAGATAGTTGTAACAGATAACTTTGGCCACTGTGTTTATGTCTTTGACAACAATGGCAACTGTTTGAGAAAAAGTAGAGGCGAGGGTAGCAATACAGGACAATTTCAGTACCCTAATGGCATTTCGTTTTTTAATGACAACGAAGTCCTGATTGCAGACTCAGGAAATTGCAGAATACAACGACTTAATATTCAGACAGGAACCGTGGTCAAAAGTTTTGGAAAAAGAGGCAGAGAAAAAGGAGAGTTTGGCAGGCCATTAGACGTTACTGTGGATGATAAAGAACGCATTGTTGTAACCGAGTGGGACAATAATAGGATACAGGTGATGTCAAAGGAGGGGGAATCTATTTTCACATTTGGAGACAAAGGCCCAGAGAAACTTTTATGGCCAACCTGCTGCATTCTTTACCAAAACAGGTTTCTCGTATCCGATACAGGCAACCACTGCATAAAAGCTTTTGATCAGTCAGGAACATTCTTATACAAGTTTGGCAAAAAAGGGAATCAAGATGGACAATTTAACTGGCCGTATGGTTTGCTTGTAGACAGCTCCGATAATCTTCTAGTATGTGACTCTGGCAACAACCGAGTTCAGCAGTTTTCTTTAGACGGTCGCTTCACCGGCAAAAGCATCATTCGTTTATCTAATGTTACGGCGATGTTAACAGCACCAGACAGGCGTATTCTTGTTACTAGCCATGATGAGAAAAAGGTGTACATTTTAAAATAGACTCTCTCAAAAGTGAACTCAAGTTTGCTTCTCGAGCCGCTCCTTGCCTGTGATTTGTTTCATTTTGATACTGTTTCATCATTTTTCTGGAAAAAGTCTTGGCGATAATATCAAGACTTACAATTCCACTTGGAGACAAAAACCTTTTGACTTGAAGAAATTAGCCCAGGTCTTTCAAGCTCGTCAGTTTCAAGCCGTCTTAATCTCTTTTATTAAGTTCTTTATCAATTGTTTTTTCTCCGATCTAAAGTTTTGTTTATTTTCTTTAAGGTCAAGGTATCGCTGCAATTTGAATAATCTACTCCAAGAAATTTAACAACGAGTCCTCAAAAATGAGTAAGGGGAGCAGTAAAACTGCTTGGTGTATTGAAACATTCGACAAATTTGACATTTTTTATAGCCTGAGAATATATAGCTGGAAAACGTCAAGACCATGTGCTGCTTTTTGCAGTCATTGATTAGTCAGGATAGATTAACTGCAGGTTTTTCAATCTAAGAAAATGTATCTTTAATGAAGCTTTAATTCAAGAACAATTTATGGCTGCATAATTTCACATGTATAAGTAATCAACAAGCACAAGACGTAAGGTGACAACTGTGTTAAAAAATGAGCATCTACCGAGTAGTAAGGTCGTAATTAGAGGTGGTTTCTAAGTAAGCTTAAGTGTTAGCTCTAATCTGTTTTGAAAAATGGTCTTAGGTTGAATAAATGAGATTTGTTTCCAATTTTTTGTTATGAATGATTAGAAAATAACTTCCAGTTTCAAATATAAATTACATTTTGAATAAAGTTATTTACAAAATTCAGAGGAAAACATCACATTAACAATTGGTTTCCCTGGAAAGTAGAAATAAAAAAAAAAGTTTATGTCGTGTTCATTTATAGTCTAACTATAATTGGCCATCAGGAAACCGCAACTGAGGCAACTAAACTGCATAATTCTTCATGCGACAAAAACAGGGATAAACTGTGGCAGTGAAGAGTCATTAGCGTTGTAAGATTAACCCTCACAGATTTGAACATTTTTTTTTGCACTATTTAAAGGTTTCCATATGCGTAATCGGCTAGACTGCAGAGATTTCACTCTCATATAAACTCGCATAAAGACTTCTCAGTACTTGTCCCTGATTGCTCAGCGAACTTGTCACTCATCTCGTGGAAGAAGCAAGTTTACAAGGTTGGTTTTTAATCGTTGTGAATCCCATTTGCCACAGCAATCACAGCTCTTGCACGTATTGCAGACCTAAGAAGCTTTTCTTAATCTTGCAACAATGGTTTGATGGATCACTCTTTGCCGGAATCACATGACCAAAGTTTGTATTTTGTTCTTTCGAGCACTACTGTCATCGTAAGATATGATTTTTAGAAATAAAAGAAAAAAAGCGAAGTTTTAATGAGTAAATGTAGTGCTTTTTCCATCTCTTCTGTATTTGCCCTTACCACAAAGAAAATGATGTAAAGATAAGGCAATAAATAAATGAATCAACAAATCTTATCTCTTCCCTTTTTCCACACCACCTTCCCCTCCCCCGTCCTGATTTCTCGCGAACAAAGTGCGAGCGAAACGGGAAGCGAAATAAACAAGCGACATATGACTAATTTGCATGAATTAGCTGGCGTGCCTTGCTGCATGACTTTGAATTCTCCTTCCCTCACGATTACCGATGTTGTTGAACAACATACCCTATTCAATAACAAAAGCTACAACACTTACAACAAATAACAAATAATTCAAACGGTCCGTGGATGTTTGATTAGCAATTGTCGATTTACGTAACGTGATTTCCATCATCCACTAAAACGAGTAAATTGAAGTAAACAGGTGCAGTTATTAGTCACAAACTGAAGAGGTCGACAAATCTATCCAATTAAAGTGATCAGTAAAGTCATGACAGATTTCCGTTCTGCTCTCTCAGAAGTCTAGGTATGGTCGTAAAAAGTAGCTTTATGGTTTTCTAAAAGAAAACTATTGATTTTCTGTTTTCAATGAATTATGTCTTCAAAACCATAAGCGTTAGGATATCTGTGTTTTCAAAGATCTCTGGGAATGACTAAGCCGAGGATATAAACTTCAAGTAAGACAGATGAGAAATATAGTCGAATGTCTGGCCAAAGAGATGCAAATCACGAATTATTATTTCGGTTTCAGCTGATGACGTTCTTGTCAGCCAAATTTCCTTTTCTGCGAGAAGGGGTTGTCACTGACGAAGGAATGCGTCTAAATTCTGAAATGCGATTGGTCAGAGGAAGTCAGCCGTGATGGACTTTGTACTGTTTTCTTGGAAACTGAAATAGTAGCTGATATTTCGTAGAAGTGTTTTGAAAGGGCTCGTCACTTGAAAAACGAACCAGTTTACTACAGTTTAAGGTGATCATCATGAATCCTCTCTTGAAGAGTCTCAAGAAACAAGTTACTTGCTCGATTTGTCTCGATACCCACACCGAGCCTAAAACTATATCATGTCTTCATACATTTTGCTGTGGGTGTTTAGAGAGACATGCAAGAGTGAGCCAGAGACAAGGGAAATTCAGATGCCCCGAGTGTCAGGCAGAAATCGATTTACCGCCCAAAAGCTTTTTTTCGCTAAAGTCTGTTAGGTGTCCTTGAAGCGGAAGATCGCCAAGCCATACCGAGGCAACAACAGGTCACTTGCTCGCAGCATACGGAAGAAAGAGTACGATATTACTGCTCCTCGTGTGAGGCGTGTATTTGTCCAATTTGCGTCACCGAAGACCACCGAGGCCATGCGTTTGACGTGCTTGAAAAAGCAGTGCAAGAGGATAAGAAAAACATCATGTTGGCTGTCGAGACCATCAAGGAACAGGCAAACTTGGTTCGAGCAGAGTTAAGAAAATTAGAGAAAACATCAGAGGATGTGGAAATGATTATTGCAATCGCTAAACAAGAAGTGTCGGAGGCAACTAAGCACGTGATCACAAAGACGCGACAACAAGAAAAACAGCTTTTTAGAGTCTCTAGAAATGACGCGTAGGAGGAGAATGGAACGAATCAACTCGGCTAAACAAGAACTGAAATCTCTAATAAAAAAAAAAATAACCAAGCAGCTGAAGTTGCGGAGAATCTGGTGCAGCGAAGATCAGCTGCGGATATCATACAGAACAAACAAAAATTGAGGCAGAAACTTGAAGAGCTTCATGGAGTTGAACTTCCAAGACATCACCAGGCTACATTTGTCAAATTTGCCGCTGCATCTCAACACAACTTTAAACTGGGTTTTGTTCAAGTCACCGAGAGGCCGGCAATCGCAGCTAAATCAACTTTGGAAGGACTGGAGGAAACTTTTCAGGCTGGTGTAGAAGCAAAGTTTACATTGTGCCCACGAACATCTGGAGGAGAGATAAGTGACTTCGCTGATCGCGAAGATCAAGTCGAATTACTAATAACACCCGCCAAAGATGTGACAAACGTGACTGTTGATGAGAAATATGACGGAAATGTTAGGCTGAAGTTTACACCCAAAGTACCTGGGGCCTACAGCGTTGAAGTGAGGATTAATGGCAATAAACTACCGACCTGTCCCATGACTGTGCAGGTAAAAGAACGTGAACTTGTTGTGGTCGGCGAGTTGAAGTTAAAGCTCTTTCAAGGGGACACGATTGAACGGTTAAGTGAAGTAACTGTAAATACAGAAGGCCAGATAGTTGTGACAGATACATTTAGCCACTATGTCTATGTCTTTGACAAAATGGCAACCGTTTGAGAAAAACTGGAGGCGAGGGTAGCAATACAGGACAATTTCATCCGTCTAAACGCATTTCGTTTTTAAAAGACAACTAAGTCCTAATTGCAGATTGCGGAATACAACAAATACAACAACTTTATTTTCAGACAGGAAAGGAACTGTAGTGAAAAGTTTTGGAAAATTCGGTAAAGAAAACGGAGAGCTAAATAATCCAGTAGGCGTTACTGTGGATGATAAAGAACGCATTGTTGTGAGTGGGGAAATAATAGGATTCAGGTGATGTCGAAGGAAGGAGAATCTATTTTTACATTTGGAGACAATGGCCGAGAGAAACTCCAATATCCAAACTGCTGCATTCTTAACAAAAACATGTTTCTCGTATCTGATGGAGGCAACCACTGCATCAAAGCTTTTGATAAGTCAGGAACATTCCTATACAAGTTCGGCAAAGAAGGGAATCAAGATGGGTAATTCACAACGCCGTATGATTTACTTGCAGACAGCTCCAATAATCTCTTAGTATGTGATTCTGGGAATAAACGAGTTCAGCAGTTTTCTTTAGACGGTCGCTTCACCGGCAAAATTATCACTTGTTTATCTAAGCCTAAAGTGATAACAAAAACACCAGACGGGCGTATTTTTGTTACTAGCCATAATGACAAAAAAGTGTACATTTTGAAATAGACTTTTTCAAAAGTGAACTTTGCTTCTTGAGCCGCTCCTTACCTGTATTTTGTTTTGTCTTTAATGCTGTTTTATCACTTGTCTGGAAGAACTCTTAGCGATGATAACTTGACTTACCTACTCTTAGGAACAAAAACCTTTAGACTAGAAGTAATTAGCCGAGGCATTTCTGTACATCGTCGTCGGTAGCGATTTGAATAATCATGACCAAGAAATTTAACGGCGAGTCCTCAGAAATGTCCAGTACATCAGAAAAACTACAAAACTAAAAATTTGACTTTCTTTTTAGATTGAGAATATATAGCAGGAAAACGTTAAGTTACCCACTTGACGAATGTCCTAGCGTGGATGTTATTTATACCTCAGACAACAAAGTCCATTCATCATTACGTCCCAAGAAAAGGTCAGCTAAGTCCTCATATTTGATTGGCCAAGAGAATCTAGTTGCGACTTTGCTGTTTTCTTGGAAACAGAGCCGTGATATCCCTGATTTCGTATGAGTATTTTGCTTGGGCTCTTCGCTTGGAAAACGAATTAGTTTACTACAGTTTAAGGCGATCGTCATGAATCATCTCTTGAAGAGTCTCAAGAAACAAGTTACTTAGTATACATGATTTTTCTCGATACCTACACTGAGCCCAAAACTCTATCATGCCTTTATACATTTTGCTGTGAGTGTTTAGAGAGACATGCAACAGAGAACCAGAGACAAATGAAACTCCGATGCCACGAGTGTCAAGCAAAAATCGATTTACCCTGGCCGCTTGGCCGTAAAAGGTCTGGTTACGAGACTATTGAAGGCTAAAAGATTTGTAAAAGGGGAAGAGAGGGGAGGGAAGGAAGGTAAGGACGCGTTGACTACATTTCAAAGAACTATGAAGGTGTAATCTCGTACCCAGATTCTACCGATTATAACTGTAACTGAAACAGATTGGCAGATTGGCAGTGATGAAAGTTAAAAGATTTGTAATATTGATCTTTTGCGCTTTTTTTAGAATCTTTACATTTCTCATCTAAATCTTTCCCTCTCATGAGGCTCCAAAAATTTCCCTTCAGGTAAAATCCGTGAATTCTTTCTTTGTTTATCCAACGGCGAATTTTCAAACAGTAAATATCTTAGAAAGACAACTGAAAATTCACTTCAGTCATTTCGCAATAGATAAACAGTCTGAAGTTGCAACAGAGGTCAACCGAGCCATGAAGTGACAGCCTTAATTATAAATAAGTTGACGGCTGACTTTGTTCTGTTTTCTAGGAATCTGAAACAAAGCCGGTTTGTTTGAATCTTTTTATGCGCTGCCCATCCTTTTGTAAAGCTACAGGGAATTAAACATTTCTTCCTCGGACTCCTCCAACTGCACATCGATGACAGTCTAAGAACTAAGAAGAACAATCTCACCAAAAGATTTGCGGTCTTATTGTGAAACGATTGAGTTATACAAACGTCCGGGTGGTCCTTAACCCTTTAATCCCTGAGAGCGATCAGCATCTAATTTCTCCTTTCAATATCACACATGAACCGATCATCAATGTCATATGAATAAAGGAAAGGATAATTAACTGAAGAAACTATTGATTGTTAAACAAATTCTCCTTGCCAGCACATTTTGAAATTTATAGAGACCAGTATGGAGAATATGCATACTGATGTTAGGGTGTAAAGGGTTACAACGACTGTTGTCATACATTTCTTGGTAGCAATTTGCGTTGTTTGCCCCGCGGCGATCCCAGAACCCTTTGCGCATAGCAGAGGGAGCCGATTCCTGGCAACTCATTCATTGGCCAGAGGAGCTCAGTTGCGATGGACTTTGTGCTGTTTTCTCAGAAACTGAAATAATATCTCCGATTTCATATACGTGTTTTGTCAGGCCTTGTCGCTTGAAAAACGAATTAGTTTACTGCAGTTTAAGGCGATCGTCATGGATCCTCTCTATAAGAATCTCAAGCAGCAAGTTACTTGCTCGATTTGTCTTGATACTTACACCCAACCTAAAACTATATCATGTCTTCACACATTTTGCTGTGAGTGTTTAGAGAGACATGCCAGAGTGAGCCAGAGACAAGGGAAATTCAGATGTCCCGAGTGTCAGGCAGAAATCGATTTACCGGAAGGCAATCGCTTCGACGGTTTGCCTAACAGCTTTTTACACAAAAGTCTGTTAGGTGTCTTTGAAGCGGAAGAGACTTGCCCGCAACATACGGAAGAAAGAGTACGATATTACTGCTTCTGGTGTGAGGCGTGTATTTGTCCAATTTGCGTCGCTGAAGACCACCGAGGTCATGCGTTTGACGTGCTTGAAAATGCAGTGCAAGAGGATAAGAAAAACATTATGTTGACTGTTGAGACCATCAAGGAAAAGGCAAACTTATTTCGAGCAGAGTTAAGAAAATTAGAGAAAACATCAGAGGATGTGGAAAGGATCATTGCAATGGCTAAACAGGAAGTGTCGGATGCAACTGAACACGTGATCAGAATGACGCGACAACAAGAAAAACAGCTCCTAGAGTCTTTAGAAATGACGCGTAGGAGGAGAATGGAGCGAATCAACTCGGCTAAACAAGAACTAATATCTAAGTTAAAACAGATGAGTCAAGCAGCTGAATTTGCGGAGAATTTGGTGCAACGAAGATCAGCTGCGGATATCATACAGAACAAAAACAACTTAAAACTTGAAGAGCTTTGTGGAGTAGAGGTTCCAAAACATCGCCAGGCTACATTTGTCAAATTTACCGCCGCATCGCAACACAACTTTAGACTGGGTTCTATTCAAGTCTCCAAGAAGCCGGCAATCGTAGCCAAATCAACCCTCGAAGGACTGAATCAAAATTTTCAGGTTAATGAACAGGCAAAGTTTACGTTGTGCCCACGGACATCTGGAGGAGAGATGAGTGACTGCCCTGAAGATCAAGTCGAATTCCTCGTAACACCCACCAAAGATGTGACAAACGTGACTGTTGATGAGGAATATGACGGAAATGTTAGGCTGAACTTTACTCCCAAAGTACCCGGGGCCTACAACATTGAAGTGAAGATTAATGGCGATAAACTACCGACCTGTCCGGATCCCATGACTGTGCAGGTAAAAGAACGTGAACTTGTTGTGGTCGGTGAGTTGAAGTTAAAGCTTCTTCCGGGGGACAAGCTTAGAGGGTTATTTGGAATTGCTGTGAATACAGAAGGCCAGATAGTTGTGACGGATAACAATGGCCACTGTGTTTATGTCTTTGACAAAAATGGCAACTGTTTGAGAAAAATTGAAGGCAAGGGTAGTAACAAAGGATTATTTCAGCACCCTGTTGGCATTTCGTTTTTAAATGACAACGAGGTCCTTATTTCAGACTTCACGAATTGCAAAATACTACAACTAAATATTCAGACAGGAACTGTGGTGAAAAGTTTTGGAAAATTCGGTGAAGAAAAAGGAGAGCTAACTAATCCAGTATACGTCACTGTGGATGATGAAGAGCGCATTGTTGTAACCGAGAGTAGCAATCATAGGATACAGGTGATGTCAAAGGAAGGAAGATCTATTTTTACATTTGGAGACAAAGGCCCTGAGAAACTTGCATGGCCAACCTGCTGCATTTTTCACAAAAATATGTTTCTCGTATCTGATACAAGCAACCACTGCATAAAAGCTTTTGATCTGTCAGGAACATTCTTATACAAGTTTGGCGAACGAGGGGATCGACATGGACAATTTCGAAGGCCGCGTGGTTTGCTTGTAGATGGCTCCAATAATCTTCTAGTATGTGACTCTGAAAATAAACGAGTTCAGCAGTTTTCTTTAGACGGTCGCTTCACCGGCAAATGTATCACTCGTTTACCTAAGCCTATGGCAATAACAAAAGCACCAGACGGGCGTATTCTTGTTACTAGCCATGATCAGAAAAAGGTGTATATTTTGGAATAGACTTTTTCAAAAGTGAACTTTGCTTATTAAGCCGCTCCTTACCGGTGGTTTGTTTTATTTTTAATGCTGTTTTATCACTTGTCAGGAAGAACTCTTAGCGATAATATCTAGACTTACAATTACTCTTAGAGACAAAAACCTTTGGACTTGAAGTAATCAGCCCAGGTCTTGCTAGTTCGTCAATCTTAAGCCGTTTTAATCTTCTCCATCCCTCGCCTATTGCCCGTCCATGTTTCTTAATTGATTGGTCAGGATAGATTAAGTGCGGGTATTTCAATCTAAGAAAATATATTTTTAATGAAGCTTCAATTCAAGAACGATTTATGATTGCATAACTTCACATGTATAAGTAATCAACAAGCACAAGAAGGAAGGTGACAACTGTTTTTAAAAATGGGCATCTACTGGGTAATTATGTCATAATTAGAGGTGGCTACTGACTTTCCAATTAAGCTTATTTTTTAGTTCTAAACTGTTTTGAAAAATAGTCTTGCGTTTTATTCCATACTACAAGGCGAGACAAATTGGGAATGCATTGAATAAGTAAGAATTAAAAGTTATTTTCAGTTTGTTGTAATGAATGATTAGAAAATAAGTTTCAGTGTTAAATATAAATAACATTTTGCAATAAAGTTATTTGAAAAATTCACTGGGAAACATCCTTTCAAAAATTTCAAAATCATCAGTACCTTGGTTTCACTGGAAAATAAAAAAAGGTTATGTCCAGTTTATTTATACTTTTAAAAAAATTGGCTTTCAGGAATGTAGCATTTTTTTCATCTCTTTAGATGTTTTGAGATGTGAAAGCTTTAAGTCACTTTCTGAAGCCTTTTCTATAGGCAGGTAAATTGCTTTGGCAAGCTAAAAAGGAACTAAAATAACAAAACAAAAAAAAAAAGCAAAAACAAAAAAAAAAAAATAAATAAATAAATAAATAAATGTGCCTAAATGTATTATCCATAAACATTTATTTACAGGGGCTACATCTTTTAACCCATAAGGCCCCTTAGGGTCACTAGCTTATAATGTTTCCTTACAGTATCACTGTTACATCAAACAATAAGGTCATAGGAATAAAGGAAATGATCACCAGCTAAAGAAACTCTTGATTGTTAAGCAAATTCTCCTTGTCAGTACGTTAGGAAATATTTAGAGAACAGTATGGAGAATATGCTTACTGATGTTAGGGTGTAATGGGTTAATAAGCTATGCAATGTGCATTGAGCAATAACCTTTTTTAAATTAGCTTCAAATGAACTTACAAGTATGTTAGTCTTGTGCAAACAGCTGGATGAAAGACAGACTATAGTTTGTAAATTTTGTAAGTTACCTGGCTGTTTTATTCAGTAGTACCTTCTGTCAACAGCAATTTTTGTTTGCACTTATAGTAGAAAGGCAGATCAAATTAAAAATAAGAGTATTTTTAAAAATTAATTGCCACAATATATGTATGTACAGTAGTCAAAACTTATCAGTGAATATAAGCCATATCAGAGGACTCAAAGCTTTAAAACAGTTGACACAAGTCAACTGCTCTTTTACATCAACATTTAACAATAATTACCATTATGAATTGCCAATTTGTGCACTTAAAAAAAACTGCAAAACAACAACAAAAAACCAACTATACTGAGTTTTCTCCTTATGCCAAAACAATCGATAATGGAAATCATAATAAAAACAATAATGACAATGATATTGATAATAATAATAATTATAATCATAATAACAACAATACTAATGACAGAAAATTAATAAAAAAAAAAAAAAAGAAAGAAAAACACCACCAACAACAAAAGTAAACAGACTAGAAAAAAAATTCTATTCTTAATCACATCTGGTAATCTGTGAAATTCAGTGTGACATACCTCCCTGAAAAGATACATACTCTGTGCATTATTTGAAATTATATAATAAGCTGAATTATGCAAGTATTTTGATTGGTTCTTGCTCATGGTTCATGATTTATTGGAGAACAGATGCATGGATGGCCTCACCATTAACAAACTTTTGCTTTGTCATCATAAAAAACAAATAAATTCCATGTCGCTGTTAGTCTGTATAAGAATAGATCACAGAAGACTTCAATATGTGGTAAGTACTTCAGTGACACACTTGACCATGCCTCATGCGCCATTTGTTTTGTTTTCACCACATTTTGACCTCATCTGTGATATATTACTGAACAGAGCCCAGTTGTAAAAATGGCAGATAACACTATCCAACAGAAAAATTGCCATCCAGCAGATAAGAGATAGCAAAACATACAGCATTATCCAGTGGATGGAAATTTATCCAGTAAATAGCATTACCTGACCTTTGAACAACTAGAGCCAAATGTACAGCAACATGGATGGAGGCCAGAAAGGAGTGCTCTTTGATTCATTAATGTGATGTAAAAACAAAAAAACCACAAAAGGTAATCGGATAAAGGCAAATATAATAACATTGGACCTAGAATTCAACACAACTCAAAAACCTTGGCTACAGGATTAACTAAGCCCTGATTGGTTTTACATATATAGTCATTTTACATCTGATTGGTTGAGTGGATGATATAAATTTTGTAGACCAATCAAATGGTAGGAAAAGAATTTTGTACACCAAGTGAAAATTGCTCCAACACCCATCCAGAGAGAGTGGCATAAAATTACTGATACAAACGGCAGATTTACCAGTGACCACAAAATTGTATTTAAAGACAGCATGAGCTTGATTACATTTCACAACATTCATGAACAAAAATTTTTGCAAAGTCTACTTCTTCTTCTTAAGATCTTCGAATCTCCTAGTAAGATCATCAAAGTCTACATCTTCACCACCAGCACTGTTCCCCCCTGGAATACTGTCAGGCAAGTTTGGTAAATCTGTAGGTACTGCAGGAAGGTCTGGGAAACTGGGGCCTGATGAAGGGCGTGGTGCACTGGGAGCAGGAGGCTGATGAGGAGCTGAAAAAAGAGGCCATGTGTGAGTGCTGAATCAAACATTCAGGTCATGAGAATAAAAAAAGAAATGATCATTCACTAAAGGAGCTCTTGACTGTTAAACAAATTCCTTCTGTCAGAACCATAGGAAATGTATAGAGAACAGTATGGAGAATATGAACCCTGACATTGGATGTAAGAGGTTAAGAGAATTTTGTGTCAAAGAAAACACCCTCTAGCAAATAATTTTGCCCTTCTGTTATCATTTCCTTCTGTGGCAATTGCTCCTGATATTATGAAAAAAAGCAGCATGTTGAACAATTACAAGAGTTCAAGAGGCAAGGGCATACAATGTACCCTTACAAAATCAGGGGCAAGTCAGAATAGCCCATTTAATAATTGTGTGCTTAGTCGCCGAGTCTTTGAACAGGAGCAAGGCAAATAGGACTTTGTTACGATACAAATGTTGCTCTTTCTCAAAAGTAAATTACTTTGTTATCATGGTAACTAGATACTGGTCTTTGTTACAACATTAGGTCACCTTGAGCCTCACTCCAAATTAAAGGCTTGGCAACTAAGTACAAAAGTGTAATGTGATTTATACTAATTGCAAAACTGAAGAGAAATGCCAAGTTTTAGAAGGTCATCTAACTAAACATTACAAGAAACCAACATTGTCAATAGTCATACCTGGTGGAGAGGGGGCAGCATTGTGGTTGTTAAAAGGGCCCCCAGGGTAGGGAGGTAGCTTTTTTTCTGAGGGATAACTGGGTGGTACATCTGGTGGACCAGAGGGGTAGGGTGGGACATTTCCCTGTGGAGTAAAAAAGATGCAGCCATGTTAATATTATCATTTTCAAATTTAACAAATTGTATCAAATTATTTTGTAAATGTTGTGATATTTTGAGTGCCTTTCTTTCCTCAGTTGCATGACTGAGTACTATGCCTTGAGATGTTACCCCATCTTATGGTGAAAACCTCCAAAAGTGCTTACCATCAATATCAATCATAACAACCATATTTAGACTGGAGGCCCCAACAATATTAACCCTTTCACTCCTGTGAATGACCAAGACAGAATTTCTCATTACCATATCAAGACAACATCAAGCAGATAAGTGACGAGATGGAATAAGTTGATCCAATACCAAATTCTCTGAACTAACATGATCATAAGAGTTGTAAGACAGTAAGGAGAATTACTAAATGAGATCATGGGGGTGAAAGGGTTACAGTAAATCATGTAATATTTCACTAGGTGTCTTTTATATGTTGCAGAAGTACATGGCACAGAAACAAAAGTGAAAAAGGCATTGCAGCCGTGAGGGTTCTCTCATTTTCAACAACTTTTTATAACCCAACACCAAAATTAAGAGTGACTAGTCTTCCTCTATCTGTGTTTTTAGTGACTTGTATATCAGGCCACAACATGTAAGCTAAATTTACATTACGCAGTTATGGTGTAACAACGACTTACATGTGTTGGTGGAGGGTATGCTGCATATCCCATGTTACCTCCTGTCATGGGTGGAATACTAGGCCCATTAAAGCCTGCTCCATAGCCCTCAAATCCAATGTGACCTCCTCCACCGCTAGAACCTCCTCCACTAGGTGGCCTTGGCTTGATGTTGTCATCAGGAGGTATCTGAGCTTCCTATTGAAAAAGATTTCAATAATTATTAATGTGATGTTTAACTTGTGCTACAATCACTCAATCATGATTCACTAGCCCAGGTATGGACTCCCATCCAGGGCAAGTGGTATGATGTTAGTAGCATGGATTGGGGCATAGCTGGAAAATCAGCTAGTGGCATTCAATTTAGCTAGTTGTGTAACTAATTGCATGGCTAGTGGCATAAGCTAACTACATGGCTAGTGGCATAAGCTAATTGCATGGCTAGTGGCATGGCTACTTGCATGGTGTGGTATCCCATCCTAGGGGGCATAGCATAATGCAAATGGCATAATGCTGAATTAACAGAAAAAAGCTCCTGCTGAATGAGCCACTTGGCTCCAGTCCACACTTAACCTTTTCCTTGTTTAACAGGAATTCATCACATTGGAGCTATTGCAAGTATCTACTTACTCCTAGCACTGATGGATCAGGTTCAAACTGTACACCATGACTGCGAGCAATCTCTATCAAATAATTTTCCACTAGTGTCTTTGGTGGTGGTCTAGGATCAAGTTTCAGGATGAGCTACAGATAAAAGAAAGTTCACAGAAAAATGTTTTAGATTTAAAACCTTTTTATGATGGTAGAACTATATAGTTACATGGAACACCTGTGTCCAGTGAAACTTGTTGTTTATTTGCAGATTTTAGACAGCTACAGACTTCAGACTTCAGTTATCTCAAACTAGAGCAGGAACACCATTCCAAAAACTTCATGACTGATATTATCAGTTGAAGTGTTACTTCACGATAATAACCAATTAAAACAAATGCTGTGCCCATACCATGCATTACTTGAATGATCAGTGCAGTTAAAAGATTGATATCACATAAATAGGGTTGAACAATGTACACTGATTCCAGAACTGATAATACATTGGACTTAATCTCATTCCAAAAACAGCAAGGTGTGCACAACCACATGATGACATTACACACTGAACAGACATCCACTCCACACCATTCCTGGAATCAATAGGTATCTGTAGTTTTCAGCTAGTGTACTGTGTCTAGTAAATATCTTTCTTTTTTATCTGGATAACAATCTGTCATAGTTTAAAGCCACGCTATAATTTAGTGAGCAATTTTTCATGTTTATCTTTTATTTAATATGGTTTAAGGAATACAGGACATTTTGCACAAAAGACTTTTCACACAAGTCTTTTAGCACAAGTTTTGGACCGTTCGCACAATTCTTAGTGGTCATTTTGCACAATAATTATAAGTGAGAAACATCAATATAAAAGGTATACTAATTGATACTGATAAGACATTTCACCTTCACATGTCACTTTCAATAAGGTCCAACGGCGAGAACGTAGACATTTATTTACATAATAACTTCAACTAAATCGAAACGCTTGTGAACACGATCACTATTCTTACTTGAAGAAAGGAACAAATCTTTCTTTCTATGAAAATGTAAAGAACTCCCTATTTGAACTATTACTTCTTTTACTTTTCCTTTGTTAAACGAAAAACCTTTAAGTTTTGACAGTACATCATCCACTACAAACATACGAACACGATGAACCAACGCTAAGGATGCCACGTTGATTTCGAAAGTAATTGTCACCAATCCTCCCTCCTCTGAAGTCAAAGTAAAAAACCTGCAAATTGTTTCACTTTTTATTTGAAAGGAGAAAAGACCTATTTACAAAATTTCTGTGTAAATCGATACGATACTGAACTCTCCATTGCTCAGGTAATTGTTATTTGAATAATTTGAAAGGTTACTACTTGGTAGATGTATTAAACTTTACGATCTTTAAAATGATTACAGATCGAGCTTGTCTTTCAACAAGATCACTAGTTACTACCTACACTGACACATTCAAGTTGTCAAATCACGACACTTGCACGTGCCGACCTTTGATGTGAATCACTCTCTGAATATCGAGTTATTAACGTTGAACTGTTTTTGCTGTACGTATTACCAGTATGCCTAATTTTCATTATATAACGAAGATATAAGAGGCAAGTTTTCAATAGCTTTATTTGAAACTCTTACAGATCGATAAAACATGCTATTTGAAGGCGACCTTTACAAGGAGGGAAGACTGGTGACAATTACTTTCGAAATCAACATGGTGTCCTTAGCGTGGGTCGTCATGTTTGCATGTTAACTTTGTAGTGGATGATACTGTAAACACTAAAAGGTTTTTCGTGCAACAAAGGAAAATTTATAGAAGTAGTCATTCCAATAGGGAGTTCTTTACATTTTCATGGAGAGAGAGATTTGTACCTTTCCTTTCTTCAAGTAAGAATAGTGATCATGTTCACAAGCATTTTGATCTAGTTGAAGTTATTACGTAAATGTCTGCATTCTCACCATTGGATCTTGTGAGGGTGAAATGTCTTATCAGTATCAATCAGTATACCTATTATATTGATGTTTCTCACTTATGATTATTGTGCGAAATGACCACTAAGAATTGTGCGAACAGTCCAAAACTTGTGCTAAAAGACTTGTGCGAAAAGTCTTTTGTGCGAAATGTCCAGTTACCAATTCGAAAGGAAATTAGTTAAAATCCAGTATAAATAAACTTAGAATGTAAAAGCTATCAGGAATAATGTCAAATTACAGTCAAGTTAACACTCACTCTTTGATTCACTGTACTATTGGCATTGATCGCAGCTTCATGTCCAAACTTTTTGCCATATTTCAGTCCTAGCTGGTCAGAGATCTGCATGAAATGACAAAAACCAATAAATTAAATCAATTGAATGATAATTGGCAAATGATGCAAACAATTAATTTATAAATTAATTTTATCCAAGAATACAAAATGTTGTCCTTCACTACCACTGTAACTCTTTCTTCAGTCATCATCATTATTGTTAGTAATAATTATTAATAATACAGTAATTTTATTTTATTTTCTTTTTAAATGTTGTGCATCCATCTCAGTGATATTGAATTTTAGTGTGAGTCTTCGAGAAATTGAGGCAAACAGTCACTGCAATAAATTTGGGAATCGAGGTATGTCCAGAAATGCATGCAGTAATAAAAATGGTGAAAATTCACCAAAATCTTCATTAATCCATGAAAATTCATTCACTTTGACAAAATTTCCTCAAATCTATTATTTTCGTGACTGCATGCATTTTTGGACAAAAGTGGGCAATTAGGAGAGAAAGGGCAGACATGTTATCCAAATTCAAATATCTTAAGATTTTAGATTTACAGGTTTGCATCAGTGTTATATAGTACCATACAAGAAAATAATTTGTGATCCCTAATGTTAGATCATTTGTGTGACATCACAGGGCTTACCACTCGTAACTCCTGAACATCTGACTGAAGCCGTGGTGCTGCCCAGATTAAGGTTGTGACTGCCTCGACCATTCCTTCATCACAGAATCTAACATTATCAAAGAAAAAGTATTAAATTAAACTTCATAATTCATTTTGGGTAATGATAACTAAAGAAATGGTACATAAGCATTCAAGCCTTAATTGGTGTGTACCTAAACAGAGGGAGTAGTAAGGAGGTCTCACAAGTGGCCACAATAGTGTGTGGGTATCCAGCTTCGACTGAAATCCTTGGTAACAAATACTCAATCATATCTGTGACAAAATACTTTTGGAACTTAATGCAGGCATAAATTACTGGGTTATAAAGAGGCTGTGAATAAACACACCTGCACGTGAACTTATCACCATGAACACCCTATAAATGATCTAATAGTGTTATGCACATTCAGGGTTGTTAGTTTTCCAGGGTTTTGAATTTGCAACTGTTCACAGTATGTTATCGTATCAAAATAAGCTTTAATTTGTAACCTAAACTCTTCATTACAGCTCTTTTAGTGCGTGTAATAAGAAGCATTTTGTACTCACTGTTGGGTCTCAATTAAACCAAATCTGGCCAACAGAAGATCACAGAACAATTCTAACATCTCCATTGCTTCAACTAAATAGTCTTCTCGGATAATATGCTCCACCTTGGAAACATACAGCCATGAATACCATCAAATGAATTTTTTACAGACACATCCAGTTTGTAAAATAGAATAAGAGAGATAATAAGTTTTTGAGCTCAGTAAAGAAATAAAAAAGATGTTTTTGTCTTGCCATGAGCGCAGGACAAAGTAAACATTCTGAGTACCCATGAAGCAATGAACCTCAGACCTTTGGATAACGCACTCCGAGGCTCTACCACCGAGCCAGAGACTCTACGGTGAGTGAGGTCTATTACGAAGTTCATATAACACTGGTCCTGCACACTTCTAAGATCAGCAATGTCAATAGCATCATGTTTGTAAAATAAAATAAGAGAGATGGTAAATTTTTGAGTTCAGTAAAGAAAGGTTCAAGGTTATGAAGTTCAAATGAAGTCCACATGAAGTTTGTCTTGACAAATAATTTCCAAGCCTGAGGTTTGTCAGAGGTTTGCTCCTTTACTCACGAGGGAAGCCATTGTTATATGCACACTTATTGTGTATGCATTTGCATGTCTAGTTAGTGGTTCAACAAAAATGTACAAAACATTGCAGATCTTGGAATATTTTTTTATGATTTTACCCTACATGTTTCTTGAGATCTTTGCAGTATTTTTAATAATTACATCCAAGGTCAAGAGAATTACTTTAGGATCTTAACCCTATAACTCCCATGAATGACCAAGACAGAATTTCTCCTAACAAAATCAATACAATATTAAGCAGACAAGTGAGAAGAAAAAAGACAAATATCAATTGAGGGATTATTAGTTGATCCAATACCAAATTCTTACACCTAGCATCGGAGGAATTGTATGTCAGACAGTAAGGAGAATTACTAATAAGAACTTGGGTATGAAAGGGTTACAGGATGGGTAACAGTGGTTCAGTACCATGTTATTAGCAAATTCAGATTTAAAAGATTTTAAATTAAAAACTTTAAATAATGTCCACTTCTGTTTAAGTATTCTAGTAATGCCTAATGGATATTACTTTGGTCAATCTGAACTGCGGTATAGAATGTCTGCCAATAAATATGTTTTTCAGGATCAATCAGGATCTAATGGTGGTTATTTTGTCAACATTTCAAAAAGAATATCTCCAGACAGGGTATATCCCAACTGACAATGATGGTATTCAAAGAGAAAGGCCAATTGATTTTGATTCGCCATGAGAATAAGACTAGCACAATAAATCTAAAGAAATTTCTACTGTTCAATAGCTAACTGGTTACTGTTAAGTGAAATTAAGAAGATATATATTCTTCTCAACTGCACAGTACATTTGATACATCAAATGCAAGTCATTAGCCAATTTGATGACATTAGCAAAAGTACAGAGGTTAGGTTTCAGCACAGCCCCATACTATTGTAGAACAAATCTGTTTTCCCAATGGCAATGTATTTTTTTGTCATTGTTTTCTCTATCCAAGAACTGAATGCATAATGTCGGATGGGGCTATACGGAAATTTTACCAAGTGAAGATTATACTATAATAGTATTCACTTATGAACGCTCTAACAAAACCAAGAATGTGGATGGAACGCTTGATCCAAAATCTTATGTCATTGGAAAATTAAAATAAATTAAACATTCTCAAAGAAACTTGAATTCATTTGTGTGGCAATGTGTTAAGTTTACTCACTCTAATTCTCGCTCTTTCCTCTTTTCCATTGTTTATATAATCAGCGATTTCTTTCCTTGCTTTCAGAGCCAATTCCGCTGTAAGAGAACACAGAAAAATTACTCTGGACCTCAATGCGTTCTATTATGTATGTACGTACGAGGTCTAGAATATTGTTCAGTTAGATTCTCTTCCATTGCATAGAGTAATTTTAAATTAGATTGCGATGGGATAAAAGCATCTCCAAAAACACTGGAAAAAACTCAATAATTGCAAAGAGAGTATGAACTTGCGAAATGTCAAGGAAAACGTCAAGGATTCAAACTCACTCTTTTTCTTTTCCAGAAGTTTGAGTCGGTTAATGGCCAGCTTTAAATTCACCTTAAGTTTCTGCTTGCTAAACCCTGAACCAAGCATGATTGGAAAAAGGAAAAAAAGTAGAGTATTCAGCTGTTTCCAAATCGTACAAACTCTAAAGTATGACCACGGATCATCGCTAAATATACTAACCCATTTTGAAATGCTTTCAATTCGCCATATTAAAATACGTAATGTTGCTGTTTTTAGAGTTGACCGCCACTAGTTCCCAGGACTCTCTCTTTCCAAGATTCACAACGAGACAAAAATAAATTTTGATTGCTATGGGAGGGGTAGTTTAGGTGACGAGGTTTGTAAAAAGTATACCCACCCTACCCTGAGGAAGAAGGTTTGGTCATGCGTCAGAGCGTAAACAAAGGTTGCCTAGAAACGAGTACACTAAAGAGAGTCAGCCATTTTGAGAAAGTAAGTCAGTGTGATCGAAGATAGTTTGTGTGGAAAAGTCGTCCTATATTCGAGGAACAAAATGCCTAAAAAAGCCAAGAAAGCGAAAGGAGGAAAAGGAAAGAAAGGAGGGTACGTTTTGTTGCCATAAATCACGACAGATTTACGCTTTTGCTTATTCAATTGTCAGCTCTAGCCCGGACGATTGGAGCTGGGAAAACAGTGCCTTACTTCATGTACTTAGTACACTTGCGTCTGTCATTAATTCGGCATGAGAGGCACATAAGTTTCTTTGAGTTTCTTATGAAACTTAACGCTAGTACACTTTCAATCGATCTCAGATCAAAACATGTAAAGAGGAATTACAGTATGATAAAGGGGGTAAACTTCTAAAGAACTGTGTTGCTGCGTTATGGGGGGAGAGTATAGCAGGGTAATTTAGTGCTATCAACTGAGTTGAAAACGTAAATTGGCCACTGTAAAGAATTAAAAGGCTGACGTTTCGAGCGTTAGCGCTTCGTCAGAGCGATTCGTCAAATCGATTCGTTAGCCAATCTGACGAAGGACCAACGCTCGAAACGTCAGCTTTGTTTGGCACTATTGGCCATGATAAAAATTTGTTTTGATTGAATGAACCATAAAGAGTCTTCTACATGAACTGAGTACTTAAGTTATATCAAATTATGTCAATGGATACAAGCACGGTATAAATTAAATTTTCATAAAGAGTCTTCTACATGAACTGAGTACTTAAGTTATATCAAATTATGTCAATGGATACAAGCACGGTATAAATTAAATTTTCGCTTTGAGATCAAGTTAGAATTACATGTAAGTGAGAAACTATATTATGGTGGAACATGTATGGATATGAACTTGGGTATGTTTGGTTAATTGACAGGAAGAAAGGTAAAAAAGAAGGAAAGAAGTCCAAGAAGGAATCAGTTCTCAAAGATGCGATGGCTAATGCCAAACTGTGGGAAACTAAATTGGAGGCTGTGGAAAAATCTCGACAAGAATACAGGTAAAACTTACCAGTGATGTTTCCATTACCTTTTGATAGTGTTTGTATGATATATGAATAGTTTTTTTGCAAAGTTTGTGGTGTACTTTGGGCATATGCTGTATTGATGTGGGTAATTTTACACAATAATTTGGTTTTCACAACTGAGTTGTTAATTCTTATCGGCCAGTCTATAAAGAAATTCTAAATATGACTTTTTGAGCATTAGCCCTTTGTCAGAATGTAGGACCAATGTTCAAAGGGCTTGGGATGTAGTTTTGAAAATTTTGCTGGAATGTTATTGGGCCTAAAGGTGATTTATTTGCACGACTCCCATGCAATAACTGCTCTGAGTGCCTGATAACTGATTAAGAGACAGTTATATTGTGAATTTATAGGATTGCTGTTTGCTGCATCTTCAAATCCCCTATCTCCTCCTCAGCCCTTCAATTTTTCTTAGAGCACAGTCTTGACTGTTAACAATTAGCATGTTCTTCAGGTAGATACCTTTTATTTTTAAAATGTACCCATTTGAATTGAAAATTATTTTTCAAAACAGAGAAAATGCCAAGCGCTTGGTGTATGAGAATGATATTTTACAAATGCAAATGGCAAGCACTGAGAAGGACACACTGGATGTTATATCTTATCTAAAACAAGAAGACAGCAAGAAAGATGATCAGGTATTTAATTGATAGCTTCTGTCCAGACACTGTGATAAAAACATTTACAAACAACCAAAAAACAAAAACACAATAATAACAAAAACAATTTTGTTACAAAAACACCGTGACCGTGTTCTACCAACTGGTTAGTAAGTTTTATAACAAAGATGACGTAGTCTCATAACAGGCCATCTTTAGCAAATTTCTTTAATTTTTTTTCCTCCAGTACAAAATGTTTTGCTCTGACATTCAACAAATTGGACATCAAATGCAGCTGTCAGAATCAAAATTCCTGCCATAATTTTAAGTTGATGTTCTGTTAAGGAAAAGGCTAAAGATTGATGTAGTTTTAATTTATTTCATGTGCAATTAAACACATTCTTCTTATCACTAATTGTTCACTAAATTTAGTAACATAATGGCTATGATTTACATGCAGAGTCTGAATGCTATAATTTCAGGTTTCCAAGCTTCAGCAGGCTCTGAAGGAAGTAAAGAGGGAGGCAAGAAAAGAACGGCAAGCTCTTGTGAGTAATATACAATGTATTTTGGTTTGAAGAGAAAAAAAAAATACTGTCATCTAGAAACTTGTCAGTGCGATCCAAAAAGTGCTATGTATGGAGCTGACTGAGACACAACAGTCTCAAACCAATCAAACTAATTTTCTTTCTGGACCAAAACAATGTAGTGACTACAAGAATGAAACAAAGCATCATTTCAGTACAGCGATATTGGTATACAATGTACAATGTTATCATTATATCCTTTTCTGCTCCATGAGGCACATACAGTGTACAGTACATGTATAAAGACTTCATTTGTATTATTGTAGATTTGCTGGTAGAACTTGTATAGTGACACATTGACTGCCAGCCAACTGTTGCTATTATAACTACAAATATATTGCTTCAGAGAAAAAAATTAATTTTGTTTAAATTTGACACTCTTATATTGTAGGTTGACGAATATTCACAGCAGATTCACCAACTGCAGGAATCTCTGGCAGAGAAGACCAATGAGGTGAATTTTTTTTTTTAACTTTTTACTTTTCATTAAAAAAAAATTTTTTTTTCAATTGTTTGCATGTAAAACAGAGTTAAGGTTTTCCCCTTTGTTTTTCACATAGTGCTGAAACAGGGGACAATCAGAGTACTTTCAAACCAATTTAGCCTCAAGTCATTAAAAACTACAACATACATTTAAACTACCTATATATATATATGAGTTTTAATAAGTTTTGAACATCTTGTTAGGTGAAACTGATGCAATCTGAGCTAAAACTTGTGAAGGAATTCAGACGGAAGAGAGCCCAGATGCAGCGGGAACTAGATGAGGTACATGCTTTTTTCCTCTGTCTTTAAAGAATGATGTGAAAATGTAATTTACTATTAGTAGTGTTGTATCTTAGGGACAGAAATCCATCAACAGGTCTCATCCTTTAAAGATCCTGTGTTTGGTTTTTATTGCAACTACTAGAAAGGGTGATGTACATTGTACAACAGTTTAATAGCTTCTCACTGGCTAATTTTCAATTATTGAATGAGACTTAACAATTTAAAATGTCTTTTCCAATTATGTATAACATCCTCTTTTACATGTCAAGTAGGTCAGTTACCTGGCTCCACATGCAAATCCCCCAATTATGCTGTCTTGAAACAGTTGGCACCTCAATTTGGGCAAAAAAACATTACTTTATTAAGGCATGTGTGTCCCTGTTGTTCCTAAATGATCAACTGATTGCCAAAAAGTGGAAATATAAGTGTGACTCTTGGCCTTTCTGCACCAGCAAAAAAGTTGTTTATTTAGACAAATCTTTTTTCATCACCAACATTTTACAAGTGCAGATGGTTTGTCATGACTTGGATTTTGGCTGAAGTGGCCATGGACATCTTCAAATCCACTGCTGACAAAACTTGTTCTTGGTATTAAAACTGGACAAAATGGAGTAAATAAACAAAACCATAATAAACTTGTCAATCATTTATTGTAAAAGCTATAACAAGCACTTAATTGAAAAAACATTAGTGTACTAGAAACTATGGCAAAAATTGTCTTTTGTTGCAAAACTCTGGGAGTCTAAAATTTTAAAACAACTTAGGATTAATCCTGGAAATTGGAGGTGGAATCCTTTGCCAAACAATGCTGGTTAGTCTTATGAACACTCAAGTGCTGGCTGAATTTGACAAGCAACAACTGAAACAAAAATTTTTCTTGACAAAATTTGTCTTTGATTTAGTCAGTAAAAGTCTTGTTTTGTCTGCTTGTGCAGGAAAATTCTTGTTTTGTCATTACTTAACAAATTTTGGCTAAAGTGGACAAATCTTCAAATCCACGTTGACAAAACTTGTCCTAGGTATTAAAACTGGACAAAATGGACTTAAAATAAACAAAACCATAATAAACTTGTCAATCATTTGTTGTAAAAGCTATAACCAGCGCGTACTGAAATGACATCAGTGAACTAGAAACTAAGGCAAAAATTGTCTTTGCTGCAAAACTCTGGGATTCTAAAACTTTTGAACAACTCAGGATAAATCCTGGAAATTGGAGGTGAAATCCTTTGCCAAACTATGCTGGTTGGTCTTATGAACAGATCAGGTGCTGGCAGGATCTGACAAATTTGAAATTTTCTAACAGATGCAACAGCTGAAACAAAAATTTTCCTGGACAAAATTTGTTTTTTATTTTGTCAGGAAAATTCTTGTTTTGTCTGCTTTTGTGAAAAGGCTCTTTGTCAGGTTAAATTTGAATTCTGGGCACAATCTGTAGTTGAATTGTCTGCACAATATCTCTTTGGAATCTTGAAATGGGACAAGTGTCATAAGCCTGTACTGTCCAAGATCTCATTAGTAATTCTTCTCACTTCTGCCATAGAATTCTTAAGATGCTACTTCTGAGAATTTGATACTGGATCAACTAGAAAATCCTCAAACTTATATTTTTCTTTATTCTCATCACCTGTCTGATTGATATTGTATTAATATTGTATTGATATTGTATTAATATTGTATTGATATTGTATTAATATTGTATTGATATTGTATTGATATTGTGAGGAGAAATTCTGTCTTGGTCACTCATGGGGGTTAAAGGATAACCCCAAATATTTATTTTATGGCAAAAAAATTAATGAGGTTTTTGGAGCAGAAGTTCTCAATCAAAAAAAAATTTATTTCTCTCATAATTAGATAAAGGAGAGCATGTTTGCTACTGAGAGACACCACAAGGACACTTTGCAACAAATGGAACACAAGTTTTTTGAAGAAAAAGTTCGATTACAGCAAGAAGCAAGTAAAAAGATTGCAGAACTTGCAGAGAGAGCTCATTCAGAGGCCATCAGGTAACAACATTTATTTCCAAGGACACATGGACTAATTGTAGGTAGAGGAGGTGTATTTGACCTCCTTTGGTTGGATAAAGTCATGATAAAGTTACTTTTAGTAATTGTATGATCTTTAAAAGGTAAAATAATAATAATAATAATAATAATAATAATAATAATGATGATGATTATAATAATAATAATAATAATAATGATAATAATAATAATAATAATGATAATAATAATAATAATAATAATAATAATAACAATAAACAGGAATTTAATTTTTTGCAAAGTCCAGGAATACATGGTCCAAGGTCCTCACTTGATGAAAATTTTAAATAAGAGCCATGATGCTATTTGAAATAAAAAATTATAAGACTGAAGATTGTGGAGTTTGGTTCATAACAATCCCAGTAATATACACTACATGTACCTATAGTGTATATGTGACTTAGATTAATGAGGATGGAGACAGAAATTAGGGACACAGGAGAGAGGAACTAACAATTCAGTATGAGGGGAAATAGAAAGTCTTCAACAAGGAAACATACTTTTCTAAAAAATCGAGAAAAAAAATCACTTTATGATAACGAAAATCTACACCATGGTAACCCTGATGAAAAACCTCACAGGTTCGTAAGGGATCTTTTAGGATTGTCGAAGACCCGCCAAAAATCTTTAAAAACAAGTATCTTTATCGTCAAGGAAAAAACAAGAGTCTTTCAAAAATCTTAAAAAGCATCCTTTCAAGGTTCTTAAGAAGATCTTTGTAAGGATCGCCTAGAATTTAATCATTATCTTACAAGGATCTTTTTAAGAATTTTTGCAAGATCTGTGCAAGGATCCGTCAAGATCCTCAAGGACCTTAAGAATTTAATGAAAGTCTTTCAAAATTTGCGTTGATTTCGGGAAACATTACATCTTGTGAGCTGTTCTAGAAGTCGTAGTTCCAGCGTACTGCTATTGATAATACTTACAATTAAGTTTAAGCCATTCTCATGTTTGAATTCTTAGTAATCTTGATGAAACAACACGATCCGTATACAAAGAGAATGTGCGTTTAAATGCTGCCTTGGATTTCCACATTAAGGAAGGACAAGAACTAAAGAAGGTTGGTCTATAATATTAATTTGTGTAAAAAAAATTGTCATTAAGGCCTTTTTTGGTGTCAAATTATGACAATCCTAATAATAAACGTATACGTGTATGCCATATGTTTCACATGTTTGTGTTTTTCCTTTTCTTGACGTCCAAGATAATTTTGTTTATATTGCATTTTTTTAAAGGAAAAAGAAGCCTTGAGTACAAAGACTAGCAGTCTTTTATCTGAGAAGGTATGTTTGATAAACCATTAGGCATAGTGATGTTGAGTCAGCTTTATCTACGCAAAATGGGAGATTTCCGTTTCTTTAATTAGAAGACGGAATTCTGAGCCGAATATATTTTGCACGACAAGAAATCGCGGAGAAAGTCGAGGGTTTGAACTTACGCAGCAAAGCTCACTGTGTTTTCCAAGCGCGGAAATACAGATGGTAGAGTAAGATTTAGCACAAGGGTGAATGGAGGAAAAAGCAATTTTTTTACGGAAAATTTGAGTGTCTTTAACGTTGAATTATAGCGGAGCGCGCGGAGCGAATCCCCATACTTATCAAAAATGGTAGAAATAAGGTTACGTAGAATCATATTTTAGGGGATAATTGCCATAAATAAACAGTTCTATATATTGACGGTAATTTTTTTCGTCCTTTGTATGTGTTTGTGGTAATCTTGTCCTCATAATGTTTTCTTTGTATGTTTGATATACGAAATATCCTCTCAGTTTTTATGGGCTTGGCTCTAATCAGTACTGAGAATGTGAAGAATGTTATCCAATACTTACCTTCCATTATATTTTGTTCATCACAGGAGCTTAATGGTATGATCGTGCAAGAGAAAATTGTTGAAAGCAAGCAACAGAAAAAGCAAATTGAGGAGGTATGAAGGTTTCCCAGTTCTCTTGCGTCGTTATTCCACTTTGACTACGGACAGTGTATATTTACATCTTAAATTCAGAATTCTTTTTAACTTTGTACTTGCCAACTTTTTGGGGTGGAAAGTGTACAAAATTTTATCGAAAGAGTGCTGTAAAGATGAACTGATCATATCGATGGTTCTCACGTTGGGCCAAGTTTGTTTTTCATTACAAATACTGTTGGAAAAATCGGTAACGTGCAAAATTGTTTGACAGGCAAAAACGCTTCGAAAAACTGTGTGCTCGGAGCATGATGGGATTTGGGTAAAGAGAAACTCACCCCGGCAGTCTTTGGTTTGTCATTCGTGCCGAGTAGTCGCTCGATTTTCTAGCTTCAAGAGAAGACTTCCGAAACATATCAATCCCGCTCTTTTAATTTACGGTTAATTTTATCACAGTGTGTCCTTAAATGGGTCGTAAATAATCATGGGTCTGTGTGAATGCTCCTATCCCTTTCATAATCTATTTAATTTACGTTCGACCATTTTCTGTAGAATGACGTTCTCTTTCGATCCTCAAACTTAGCTCCAAGAGAAGGTGAAGACATTGGAAAAATCTCTCAGTCACGTGGTGCGTGAATTCGAGGCAGAACGAGCGTCGTTGGTGCAGAAGTCAGAGGATGAAACCAGAAGTAGTAGGTAAGAAGTCAGTATAAAATTTGATACGGTTAGGTAGATTAAGGGGAAATTGTTTTAAGTTTCTGCACTGCCTTAAAGACGTGAAGATTGAAACTAAGGGTATTTCTTTTATTCGGTCTTTTTTAGCTGTATTTTGTTTTGTTGGTTTTTGTTTTTGTTTTGCCTTGTTTTTGTTTTGCCTTGTTTTTGTTTTGCCCTGTTTTTGTTTTGCCCTGTTTTTGTTTTGCCTTGTTTTTGTTTTGCCTTGTTTTTGTTTTGCCTTGTTTTTGTTTTGCCTTGTTTTTGTTTTGCCTTGTTTTTGTTTTGCCTTGTTTTTGTTTTGCCTTGTTTTTGTTTTGCCTTGTTTTTGTTTTGCCTTGTTTTTGTTTTGCCTTGTTTTTGTTTTGCCTTGTTTTTGTTTTGCCTTGTTTTTGTTTTGCCTTGTTTTTGTTTTGCCTTGTTTTTGTTTTGCCTTGTTTTTGTTTTGCCTTGTTTTTGTTTTGCCCTGTTTTTGTTTTGCCCTGTTTTTGTTTTGCCTTGTTTTTGTTTTGCCTTGTTTTCAAATCTTTAAACCAGTAAATTATTCATATTCATGTTTTGATATCATGTCCACTTTCGTTTCAGAGCTGAAATTTCGAGGCTACAGAGAATAGTAGAACTTAAAACAAAAGAGATGAATCGTGTCAAAAGACTGGCGAAAACTATTTTAGATCAGGTGAGATGGTTCGCACATGTTCAACTGCTCAACTTATTAATTATTTTATATCTAAAACGGGGTTTGAGTTCAGCGGCATCGTTAAACTTAATTTTGATCTTTTTTTTTTCTTTTGTAGCGAACGGAAGTCGAACAGTTTTTCTTGGACTCACTGGAATACGTCAAAAATGAAATTATCAGAAACAGGTACTGAGATGAGGCAACATGTTGATGGAAATGTTGTGACCCTTGTGGTTACTCAGAAAGTTGCATCAGCATTTCGAAAATTATTTGAATAGAACTGTCAATTCTTTATGCTTTCCTCTCTTGAACATTTGAAAATAAGGAAGGCAAGAATCGTTGCGTAAATGTTTTAAGGGTAAAATCGGCTTTACATAATAGGGGGAAAGTTCAAAACGCGCCAAAATCTGCAGAAGATTCTGTGTTGAATGCAATCAGTATAATATCGCAGTGAGTGGCCACGATCTATGTTGATAAGCCAAAAAAATTTTTTTAGGGACAAAACGCTTCAGAAAAGTCTTCATTATGTTAATTTCAGCTTTCTCAGATTGTTCTAACGGTTTTCCCGACAACCCTCAAAATCCGTAAAATCGATTAGAAAATCTCTCTAAATGTCGGAGGACCATTAGAAGTCCAGTTCGACTTAAAACATTTCAAATCTACTCGTTTTCGTACGCGCGACAAAACATATTATAACATAGCTAGTAAATTTGTCTAATCAAATTCAATTGCGCGAGCGTGCTTCCTATTCCTATTGTGCACGCTCATGACGTCAGCAAACAAATCCCTCGAGAAAAAATTTCCATCGGGTTGAAAATGTTCTAAAACAATTGGTTCATACGTCATCTGTGCGTTCATCGAGATCTGAAGCATTTGGGAAGTTTGGAGAGCACTCAAGAAGCTACGCCTCGAGCAACTCTTACGCATCTTTCGTGCTCGCCAAACTTCCCGCGTATCTCGATGAATGCACGCTGACGTATGAACCAATTGTTAATTATATCATTAAAATTTCAATCATTTGAATTAACTAATGAGCGCGCGCCTTAAAGTGAACAACAACAAAAAAAAAACATGAAACAAAGTCCGTAATTGCACACGCCAGGGCAAAAGTACGAAGTTAGTTCTGTCAAAAATTTTTTTTATTATTAATTCCTTAAAAGCAGAAAAGGTTGCAACACAGATGGTTAAAGAGAAACGAAAAATAAAAAAAAGGACAAAGAAAGAAAGCAATGTTGTTTGGAAGGATGTTGTCTGAAATTTAGGGCACAAACGTCGCCTTATTTTGGTGGAGACTGGGTATCCGCTTAAAAGATACTGTGATAGTACCTCGAAAAGACTGAACGTAGTTTGTATCAAATCCTTTTCTCATTTTCAGCCATTCTTTCTTTTTAGAATACAATATCGAAAAGATGCCCAAAATGCCTACCAACAACGCATGCTCGAAGCTCACGCTGGCCACAGTGATTTCCCGCGCGTCAGAACCTTCCGCCCATTAGACAGCAGTACAAACAATGTGTTTGATGACCTGAAGGAGGCCGAGCGGTGGACTGGGGTCCAAGGAAAAGTTGACATGTCTGAGCTAACCTGGGAACAACGCGAGCGGATTTTAAGGATGTTGTTTGCGAAAATGAATGGTTTCAAAGAAAAGAGAAGGTACGGTGTTTCCCATAAGTCGATCGTAGCCGTACTCTCCCCACCCCAAGGTGAAACGGGCTGTAGGGGAGGGTGCGGCTACACGTAGACTATGGTATCGCTGGTATCTATGTAACGTTTCCGCTATGTATCACTATCTCTACTACCCAACGGGAGGGTAACATGACGTACGAGAGTAATCAAACAATACCCAACTTTATTTTCCATTAATACGTCATTTTACTATATTAGCGCAACAGAACACGCAAGATTTGCGACGGTATCACATTGTTGAGCAGTGCAAAATACGGACGGAAAGCGAAGCAACGACATGGCCCCGCTTTTCATCCTTTAGGTTCGACTGTTGAAGTGGAAAAAGGTTTTTTTCGTTTGTCAACATTCTGCCCTTTCCTTTTATTTTCCCTCGCTTACGGAAAATATTGCGGTACTCGCAGACATCGTCTTGTGTTGTTTACACCATCTTACATCAAGTGTATATTTTTGCATGTCTTCTTAGTGAGCAGTTTTTTTGCGTGCGTGAATTTAGTTCATCTCTGAGTATTTCCTTCTTCTTTTCGCTAGACCTAAGGCACCAGCACTTGAGCCAACGCCTCCGGATTCCCATTCAAAAGCTCTACCATCCGAGCAGACACAGAAAGCAATGGGAGACAGCACATTCCTGACGCAGCAAGATGTGGGTGGCCCATCACTCCCTGCGGCCCTTCCACTCCCACCCGTTGCTGGCACTCAGACTTCGACTGCGGGTACTGTTAGTTGAAACAACGAACTTGATACAAACAGAATCAGAGGTTACATCTCCTTACTAAAAAGAGTAATGTGTCGAAAAGATGTTGAATAGTGTGTTTATAGACATAGTTGTGTCACTTTATGGATACTAAAATGGTGTAAATAAACAAAAAATTTTAGTTACTGAGTTGTTTTCGTCTGCTTTGACGTCTGTTCTAGAGCGTCTGTTTCAGTCTAATGTGCTGGGCTAAATTTCCGAAATGAGTTGTCATTCACACCGTTACCTGCTACCTAACGCTGTGCTGTGTCGTGCGTCGCAACCACAAAGCTTTTCCACCATTGAGATGGTAAAGCTCAGAAAGAAACATAGCTTCAATTATCGCTTCTAATGAGGTAAACGCTCTATTCCTGGTTTCCGATGAATGAGACTGTGAGAATAACTTCCTGTTTATGACGTGACAGAAATCAAAAGCCGAAGAACGCGCCCACTGCAGGGCGGGAAGTGGAAAAGACTGGAGCTGCTCGGTTTTCACGCGCGGTTACAAAGGAAAACTATAGCGAACTTGTTATCGCGAGTGGTGAAGATTCAACATTGAGTTAAATGCGTGGACAATCATCGCTACATTTGGAATCAAATGGAGATCTAAATCAGAAATAGAAGAAGAGACTTTCAAGGTGACCAAGGGCTAAACTTCAGAATACCCCGCAACTCATTTCCGCCTCACTTACATGTGTCGGGAGCTTTGAAGATCGAGGCTTAACACAATAGACGCTATTCTTATTCAATGACATGTAAATCAGTTGCGGGGTATTCTGAAGTTGCTCCTGACCAAGCTTTAGCAGTAACTGATGCGATGACAATTTGCGACAAGGTACAAGGTAGACGAGTGAACGAAAATTGAATCTTTATCAATTATTATTTAAGTCGTCTGCTTTCATTTCCTCACTAGTCCGGATCTACTCGTTCTTTAGATTTACACAGATAACGTCGTTAACTGTTACACTAAGGTACTAGAGAAATACCTTCAGTCTTCTAGTTCGAATCGTATCACTTTGCCGGAGTTCTAACTGACTCCTTGAGCTGTTTCTCAGAACGAGACACTAAAGAGTTTAATCTAAAACTACAAAAAATGTAAAAACGATTATCTAACTTATAAAAATGGAGTATTGTGAAGAGCTGAATAATAATAATAATAATAATAATAATAATAAACATTTACAATTCTCCATTTCTAAACCTTTACGCCACACCAGTGTTTTTGGATGTCAGGTACAACTATTTTACTACTAATGTGGTAGTTAAGTTTTAAATTACGATTATCAATTGTTTTCTTTTCCGATGTTGAATAATACATGGAAAATGTACTTAGCACATGAAAAAAGTTTACTTTTACGCATTTTCTCAAATCAACCTGAAAATGGCGAACAGACATAGTCCTTTTTCTGTCAGGAGATAGAAATCGATAAAGATCCAGTAGTGAATACATTTTGGAACACCTAGAATCCCTCGAGGAGTATACGGCTTTTGCATCAGTCACACTTGGAACTATGGTTGCCAAATACTCCGGTGATTTCACCACCTGGCGCCTGGTTGGCCCAAAGAGACCTTGCGTTCAACAACGGCGACAGCAACGGCAACGGCAGCGGTAAAGTGAGAAGTCTGGGTCAAGGTGAGCTATGCCGTTGGCGTCCCCGCCAAAATTGTGATTAAGATTTTTGTGAAGGAGAGAGCGGACGCCATTTTTGTTTCTTGAATGGTGACCTGCCTTCCAAGGCCTTTAAAGTAATAAGACATACGTACAATGATGGTCGATGAAATGTCTTAAAAATAGAATTGAAACCATCGGATTGCTAAAACATTATTTAACATTCACAACGAAATTGTCAAAAAATAAATCTTGGATTTCATAAAATATCATAAATAGTAAACTGTTGAATGTCAGCGCCTTCGAATTTGTTTATAAGAAATTGTGAATATAAAAATGTTGGACGTAGTCAGGAATTCAAGTGAGCCAATAAAGTCCTTGCAACTACAGTACAACCATGATAATTTATTTGAATGACAAGGATTACACTTTAAAATTTAAAGAATTACACGTTTGAGATAAAGCGGTAGAATCTAGTACCCGTAATGGCAGAGTCGCTACGAACTACCGACCAGAAGTCTACTCATGCGCAATACACTACCGGAAGAAAAAATGTCTCCCGTTGTCTTCGCCGTTATCGAATCGTAAGGTCCCTCGTGTTGTAGAGCGCCGGACTGCCGCGCGGAAGGTAGAGCGGACCAACACTTAAGGTTTTAAAATAACTGAGGAGAACGTGTTGCCTTTGCTATGACATCTGCAAATGGTAATATATTTTAGTCTTTTCGGATAAGGACGTAAAACCGTAGGTCCCATCTCGTGCATCTTCTCTCCACTACTTAGCAGGGAACGTCAAAGAACCCACGCACTTCTGCCACAGGGCATGGAACGTAGCTCCCGTTGTTGTTGTCTGGTTTTGTTTCCAAAATTTCGTAAGGAGACACCTGCAAATTCCCTTTCGAAAAGTTGTTAACTGCTCAATGCAGTGTGGCTTAAGTCCCCGAAAATTACTGTAAAGCGCATTCGAGCATATTCATGTGGAAAATGCGCTCTATAAATTCATCATTATCCATATAGTAACTGGGTCGAATTTGGCGCCGTATTTGGAATTTAATTAGATAGACATAACTCGGAGATATTAAAGTATTCGCGCGTGCGTCCGTCCGTCTGTTCTTTAGTGAATTCGTGCCTTCGTGAACTCGTATAGTTCGTGAACTTGTCGGTTATTTAGTTCGTTCGTCGGGTCGTCGGTTCGTGTGCTCGTCGGTTTGTCAGTTAGTTTTTTGGTTGGTTCGTCAGTTCGTTTGTTCCTCTGCTCGTCAGTCCGTTCGTCATTTTGTCATCAAACCAGTTCTTGTTCTTCTTACTATTATCATTATTGTTATTATTGCTATTAAAATTATTATTATATTTATTGGCATTACTATTGTATTTTTTAATGATTGATTCCTGGTTAGCTTTGACGTAAAAGTACATGGAGCGCCTTGTTCACTTATAGAGAACAGCAGTTACCCTCCCCTCCCTAATTAAGCCGCCAAAATGTTGACAGGGATTGTAACAATCATGTAGATCTGGGAGCTACCAGCGAAGCCATTGAACCGCAAGGAACGCTGGGTAGTTATCTGTTACCGTGATAACAAGCTGCTGTAGTGCTGTCTGTGCGTTTCCATCTATCTCTTATAGGAATATCATTTGGAAAATCTGGATGTTGAGGTAAAGTTAGCCTATACAAAGCTAGAACACCAGCTTAAGGCGATAAAAAGGCTGTAGATGTTAAGTGCTTAGTAAAGTTAGAATAATTTGTTTTTTGAGTTTGTAAACCTGTTAGCCAAAATAATACTTAACTAATGTAGGTGTTGTGAAACACATTTGTCTGTTGAAGGAATCAACGCTTAGTATTACAAACCGAGAATGATATTGATCTGCCAAATCGATGACTTGCTAGTCGACTATCACCTTTTAACTACCGCAAAATTTCAAATAACAGATTTACAGAAAGCAAGTTGTTTTTCATTTGTCACGAGCAAGGGGCACTGTAAACTTTGATATCCCCGAGAGAATTCGAACCTCAAATCTTCCGATTTTGTGTTCGAATGCTTTATCAACCGAGCAATTAACAGAGATCACTTTGGCCATTTTGGCCTTATTCAGGTTAACAGGCACACTTAAATACATGCAAGAAAGACGAGCCGTCGGCAGGGCTTGAATTCCTTGCAAATGGCTCGCTCTTTGGATTCTTTTGATAATTAGTACCGTTAATCCTTCTTGATTTAATCGGTGTTTAACTGCTTTGGTTAGCCATAGAAATTGCAGACAAAGAAGAGGTACTGCTTACGCTCACCCCGATTAAAAGCTGTACGTTTTAATTTTTTAGAACTAAAGCCACGAGATTTCTTTGCACGACATGTAGCGTGGATTTGTCAGTCTGCGTAATATGATGGGAAAAAAGTATCGAAAAGATTAAGTAGTTTCTGTCAATGAAGGCTGAATTTGACGCAGTTAATGAAATATTGAAATTCGCCTTGAGTTGTATGTTTGCTGCTCAACAAAGAGTACATTCAACTAAAAAAATACAAAAAACATAAACAACGGCGATAGTTAAAAGAAATGTTAATAAAATTCACAACAGAACGATGCGCTAGGTGAAAACATGAATTAGTGTCAGATTGTAAGTTACACGCAGATTGGCTTTACCCCCACGACTGGCTACTGAAATGATAGCGAGTGTCAAACAGTTTAACAAAAGGCGGATTTACGTCACAATTTGTACGCAATTACTTTTGTGATACCGGAGGGAATAATTCTTAAATTAAACACTGGAAGAAAACTTTACATTGGTAAGGCACGTTGCAAACACGTGCACAGCCAAGAATTCTTTGAGGAGTTAACTGCAAGTATTTTCTCAAAATTCCTATGCGCGCTTCCAAAATGAATTTGCTTTGGGTTTTTCTGATTAATATTGATGACAAGCAAAATTCAGGGTAGGAAATAAAAAAAAACCGCATTGCGAAAAACTTGATAAGTGCATATTGTATTTTAAAAATCCAAAAGTGGTGATCATTTAAATTACTCCGTTGCATTATTTAAGAAATAGACTGTAGCAAATCTTCGCTTTCGTCAAATTTGCTTATATATGAAACGAAAAATTAAAAAAGAATCTCCAGGCTAAATCATAGTGTAAAAGTGTAATCTTTCGCAAATGGAATTCGTCATCATGATAAAATCATGCTCCTCATCCAATTTTACGTTTGCTGAATATTTGCTCCACTGGACTAATTTTCTCCAAAACGTTATTTCTTCAGTGCTTTAACGCAATCATTTCATTTTAATAGACAAAAATTGTATGACAGACGTTGTCATTTAACAACTTCTAAGAAGTGATTAACATTTGCATTCAATGAAAATGTTATATATTTGCTGGCTTTCTAAACTAAGTGTAAGTTGTGTTACCGCAAATAAAGTTTCAAATTCAAATGCGGTTTTACGGCTGACATATTTGCTTTAAAGGGTTACTCCCTTTTTGTTTTCGTTTTGTTTTGATTTTTTTCGTCTCCGTTTACATACTACCGC